CCACGAAGCTCCTTCCGTGCTTTATGGGTGTGGATGATGAGATGCTTGTGGTCTCCGGAGCTCTTTTGGGGCCACAGGCAGCTCTGAAGGTGGAGCCTCTGGGAGGGAGTAGGGAGAATTGCCTTCCCCAGCAGACCTTTACAACTGGCCACATTTCCTTCAGATATAATTTTAACAGCATTCTTGAGGTAGAGTTGATATACACAAACCCGCATGTTTTTAATGTCTACGGTTTGATGTGTTCAGACATTTGCAAACACTGATGAAGCCATCAGCGTGGCCAGGGTGATAGCATCAGAAATGTGTTCCGATGAGATGCAGCACCCGGGTAGAGCCGCAGCCTTCTCTGCTTCTGCTGCAGTTTCCCCAACCCTGTGTAGCTCCCACCTCGGATCTGGTGTCTGTCTCCTTTGCAAGCTCTTACGCTTCTGCTCTGTACGGGGGTGTCGATAAACGATGTCGAGAACTGCTTCATACGCTCACATGGGTAAGTCTCAAAAACAGATTTCCCCAAAGGGGCAGTATTAAGTTATATGTTTTTTCTGTATTAATTTAGTCGTTTTCTTCCTGGTGGGTCTTTAGCTAGTTTCAAACATTTCATTTTTATTATTGGTACTATAAACAAAGCTGCCATAATCCCACTGGTGTGTCTCTGCCTGCCTGGGCACATGGCCGGGGACAGGACCATGCACCAGGATGGCTGGTGTCTGCCTGTCACTCTCCAGAGCGGCCACATCAGCTTATGATCCCACCAGCAGCACCAGCAGTCAGAGCTGCTCTGCATCAAGCACCACCTCAGACTTTAAATTTCCGTGTGACATAGTGTCCCATGAAGGTTTACTTAGCATTTTTGTGGCTGTAGGTGGCGTTGAGGGTCTTCCGTGTTCACAGCTCCCCCCAGGCTGGAGATGCTCCTGTAGCCCATGGGGACCGACTTCCAAAGGTGCCCACAGCCTGTCTGGACCAGAGTCCCGGCCATGCGGCTTCACCCTGGCTCTCCATTCTGGGTCCTGGAAATGTTTGTCTGATCAGGGTTATTGGTTTGGGGTTACCTTTAAAACGTCCCCCGAAAAAAGAAAGGGGAAATGGAGGGGAAGGTGTTCGTGTGCTCAGTGGGTGGAAGAAAAGCATCTTCCTGAGATCAGGGCCTGGGGAGGTTTGGGCTCCACTATTCCATGTATGAACTTCTCAAATGGAGTCTCGAAGGGGAAGATGTGGAACAAAGGAGGCCAGGAATGGGACGCACTGACCCTCACCTCCCGGGCAGCTCTGGGTGTGAGCAGGCAGCTCCTAGAACCCTCACCTCCTGGGCAGCTCTGGGTGTGAGCAGGCAGCTCCTAGAACCCTCACCTCCTGGGCAGCTCTGGGTGTGAGCAGGCAGCTCCTAGAACCCTCACCTCCCGGGCAGCTCTGGGTGTGAGCAGGCAGCTCCTAGAACCCTCACCTCCCGGGGCAGCTCTGAGCGTGAGCAGGCAGCTCCTAGAACCCTCACCTCCCGGGCAGCTCTGGGTGTGAGCAGGCAGCTCCTAGAACCCTCACCTCCCGGGGCAGCTCTGGGCATGAGCAGGCAGCTCCTAGAACCCTCACCTCCTGGGCAGCTCTGGGTGTGAGCAGGCAGCTCCTAGAACCCTTACCTCCCGGGGCAGCTCTGAGCATGAGCGGGCAGCTCCTAGAACCCTCACCTCCCGGGCAGCTCTGGGCATGAGCAGGCAGCTCCTAGAACCCTCACCTCCCGGGCAGCTCTGGGTGTGAGCAGGCAGCTCCTAGAACCCTTACCTCCCGGGCAGCTCTGGGCATGAGCGGGCAGCTCCTAGAACCCTCACCTCCCGGGCAGCTCTGGGCATGAGCGGGCAGCTCCTAGAACCATCACCTCCCGGGCAGCTCTGGGCATGAGCGGGCAGCTCCTAGAACCATCACCTCCCGGGCAGCTCTGGGCATGAGCAGGCAGCTCCTAGAACCCTCACCTCCCGGGCAGCTCTGGGCATGAGCGGGCAGCTCCTAGAACCCTCACCTCCCGGGCAGCTCTGGGCATGAGCGGGCAGCTCCTAGAACCATCACCTCCCGGGCAGCTCTGGGTGTGAGCAGGCAGCTCCTAGAACCCTCACCTCCCAGGCAGCTCTGGGCATGAGCAGGCAGCTCCTAGAACCCTCACCTCCCGGGGCAGCTCTGAGCATGAGCGGGCAGCTCCTAGAACCCTGCTGCCCACCCTGGCGGAACTGGCTCTCTTCCATGGGGAATGAGCTCTGGGAAGTGTGAGAGACCCACACGTGGATCCTACCCGGACAGCTCTAGAGCAGGCTGTGATGTGGATCAGCCTTCTGATAGGAATGGAAACTACAGAAGGAAGAGTGTGATGGACCTGGGAGGTGCTGAGGTCGTCCCCGCGGGGGCCGTGCCTCTAGTTGAGAGTGTGATTACCTGCGAATCCTCCCTCCAAGATGCATTATGGAGGCCTGTTGTGGAGTTTGCCTTATTAAAACAATATTTTCCCCATTTGAAAGCCATTTGGGAGAAAGAAAAAGACTGGGAGAGAGAAAGAGAGAGAGAGAGGCATATTCATCATTTACCGGTATTGATCATAAACTGTTTCGGTCATAGGTGAGTCTATAAAGCAGCTTAGTAAACTAGAAGGAAGGTTTTTTCTGGCTGCAGAAAGCTGCAGCTCCTGAGAAGTGGCCCTGGGAATGAGTACCAATTAGGACGGTTGGTCCCGGGCCACTGCCCACCCCTTCACTGCTGTACGAACGTCCCCATCAAGGCTGGTGCTCAGAGCCAGCCCGCAAGAGTCCTGGTGCGGTGGGGAGGGGTCCGCACTGGAGGGTCTTTCTGGAGCTCCGGCACTCAGCTCGTTTCTTGTGTCGTGGAGTGTGAATAGCAGTGAATATGCAGTCTGTGAAGACCTTGGAGGAATTCAGACCGAATGATTTATAACCCACCTGTTCCGGGAGAGGAGTCCAGAGGAGGTCTGAATGGGTGGAGGCGGGACTCTGACCCAGGGCTGTGGAGGCCCCTGCGATGCTGGCTGGAGTGACTGCCTCCTGGGCTCCCACTCAGACTGCACCTGGGATACCTCTTTCTTAATAAAATCAAAGCTCGCACCTCAGGAAGCAAGTGGGGCGTGGATGCAACTGTGGCCCCAGGAGGAGGGGGGCCCAGGGGGTCTGAAGACCCCAACCCAACTGTTCTGGGTGGGAACCAGTCGCAGCTCAGCTCTCTGGGTTCCTGTGCGTGGACAGTCACTGCACGGCGAGGCTTGCAGAGGATTGGGACACCAGGGAAGAACACTGATGGACGTTGGATTGCTCATGCTGTCTGAGGCATGGGATGAAATGAGGGGAGATGGGCCTTGGGCAGCAAGGTGTGAGTGACTCCGAGTTGAGGAGCTCACCCTGGACTGGAGCTGGCCACGCTTGACCCAGGACAGCCTGAGTCTGCAGATCTGCCCCGCGCCTGTGTCTCAGCCACTAAACGGTGTGAAGACTTCCTTCTCAGGCTTGTACAGGTGGATGGGATGCATCTGAGCAATCTAGTGGACTGAGAAATGCTTTTGGATCACAGTACTCTTGGAAGGGGACTGACCTCCAAGCTGGACAGGATGGAGGGGAGGGCTCAGATGGCCACTGAGTCCAGATGGACATGGCGCCATAATCGAATATTAGAACAAGGGTGCATCCCTTTCTCCCACCCCCTCCACCGGCTCTGGGGTCAGACCCCACCCCTGCCTGGAGAACGGTAGCTGTCTTTGATGGCCCTTTTTCCACCTCAGCCATTTGTCTCTCAGGAGGTAGACACACCAAGGAGGGGGAAGATGGGCTCCGCAGTCCTCACACCTGTCCGCCGTGGGCACCTCCCAGGCAGAAGGGATGTGAACCACGCTCCCCAGACAGCTGAGCGCAGTGTGCTTGCCAGTGAGGTCCATGCTGGACATGCCGCTTGTCAGTCAGAGCTCATGGGGGCCCGCAGTTCCCACCAGCACTAGGGCAGAAATCCTGGAGTTTGGTTCTCATTCCATGGCGAGCCGCATCACGCTCTGGCAAGGACCTGAGGTCCTCCTGTCTGGGACTGCTCCCTCTTCCTGCGAAGTGATTTTGTAAAGAGCCCCTGCTGCTTTCTTTGGTGGAAAACTTCGGGGTGTGGGATGTAAGATCACTCACCATCTTGCTGCTGCTCCTGCTCCGGATGCTCAGGGCCCATCTCAGCCGTTCTTCTGCTGGACCCTTGGGTTGAGTTCATGGGATGAGTCTTCTGGGCTCTTGGAGACTCAGTCCATCCATCCATCCATTTTACATGGATAGAGTGACGGAGTCTCGAAGTCCCCTCCTCCTAGGGCGCCTTTTATGGAACACTTCCATCCTCTAATGGAACATTTGCTGTTGAGACCTGGTCACCCCCGTGAGACTCAACCTCATGACAGAGCTCAGAGCTGTCCATGCTGTGATGTTCTCCCTCTGCCATGCCAACTATTGCAGGTCTCAGACCAAATTCTGCATGTCGGTGGCGTAATTATAAAGAGACTCGAAATGCCAGGACCCGTTGTCAGGAGCCCCAGCCTCTCAGGGCATTGCCCACGGCCCCCACGGCCCCTGGGAGTGCTTCCTCCAGTGACCTGGGCTGGGACTATGTCCTGAGGAGGGGAAGGAGGCCCATGCCACATCCAGCCTGGCTCTTGAGAACTTCAGACGTGGATCCTCTTGGAAGCAATAGCAATCTGTTATCTGCTTACCTGATGGTCATCTCTATGTCCACAAACAGAATCCAGCTCCACGGAATAACAAAGTCCTAGGGTAATGGCAGAGGTGGGACACGGCCAGCTGCGTGTCCTCTAGCTGTAATACTGAACTTAGGTGGGAGAGTGCTTGAGGAGGAAGGACTCAGCCCTGGGCAGGCCAGGGCAGGATGTGGAGTTAATATGCGAGGGGGCACCATTCACTCCACAGTCAGGTGAGATAATTTTATGTTAACATAACCCTACAAAGTGTGTCCTGTTGTTTCCACCGCAGGAAATCAAGTTCAGAGACGAGCTTCGTGCCCAAGATCACAGAGCTGGCACGCTGCTGAGCTGGAATCTGCCTCCTCCATCTGTCTGGCCTCAGTCCTCTTCACAAGGCCTCAGGGCCTCCTTGCTGGGAGAAGACTTTCTGTAGCGGGGTGGATGTCTCTCTCTCGTTCCTGGTTTGGAATGCTGCTGGGACACAGCAGGGGCCCAGTAACCCATTTTAACATGGTAAAATAAACAAGAGTAAAAATGGTACACTAAAAAAAAAATACCCATTTAATACAAAAGAAGGTAGTGACAGAGAAAGAGAGGAACAAAAACGAGAATTGCTTCTAAGTGAAATGTTTAGAAAAGAAGAGAAGGCAGACACGAAGTGTATAAAACGTACATCGCGGTGTCTTTATTTGTGTAAGATAGTAATGTGGTCTTCAACAAGTGTTCACTGGTCGTCTACATTTTGTTTATTCTTTATTTACACATCTTGCTCAGTATTGACGGAAGGCCTGCTCTCCATCAGACGCCCTCCTAGCGGGTGGGGCTACAGGCCTCATTTTCAGGGGAGTCCCCACTGAGAGAGCCCGTGGGAGGGCAGGGGAAGCGCACACAGCAAGCAGCCATCCCGCCCACGGCTCAGGGCTCCTTCGTCAGTAGCTCCTCTGAGGCCCCTGGGGCAGGTGAGCCTGGGGCTTCCTGTTCAGGACCCCCTCTCCCCATGCAAAGAGCAGCAACTTGTGATCACGTCCAGCAGTTTGACCCTTTAATTAGAGAGCCAGGAACAGCAGTCAGCTGGGGTCAGGCCAGCGGCATGGAAAACAGCCAGCAGGGATGCCTGGGGCCCCACCTCCCCAAACCCCTCACAGATGCTCATGGACACTCCCTGGGTGTCGTGATCTTGGAGTCCCCAGCACCCCTTTGCTGCTCCCAGGGTTCCTCCTCTCTCAGCCTATTATGGCTGAGGAGCAAGCCCATTTTCCCAGCTGTTTGTATCATGTCTAAAGGTCAGTAACCCCATTTGCCAAGTCTTCCACGTGGCAAAGATCTCCAGACCGTAGCCACAGCTCGGGCATCTCAGTACACTCAGTGCCGAGCTGCTTCTGCAACTCCCACTGGTGAGGATGACCTGGGGAGCCAGTGACTGCACAGGGACCTGGGGCGGCTTTCAGATTCCCACGGAGATGGAGCCCTGGACAGGTGCTGGGGCCAAATGGGACTGAGTGACTGCATACCTCAGCCTGCTCTGTTCTGGAAAACCGTGTTGCTGGGTTTGGTGACGGCATGCTTGTGTCTCATGGGTGGGGCTTGAACTGTCAACTCCGGGCATTTGTTTTTTTTTTCTGCCTCTGGCCCAACATTAGACAGACCAGAATCTCAGATATTCTACTAGGAATGAAAGAATGTTCATCTTACCCACCAGACAGTGGGTGGGGAGGGAAGGCTTACAGTAGGATGGGCTTGGCCACTTTAGGGCGGGGCTTACAGTAGGATGGGCTTGGCCACTTTAGGGCGGGGCTTACAGTAGATGGCCTTGGCCACTCTAGGATGGGGCTTACAGTAGGATGGGCTCGGTCACTCTACGTGTTGGTGCTGTGACTTTTCCTATGTGAAGATGGACCATGCGGCTGAGGCTGCTGGGTAAATATTTAGGTCTGAAAAGATTTGTTATCTGATTGCTATTGACGGACATTTCTGTAGCACACGTGTCTCTGGAGACTGCCTTTTGCTGACATTGCTTAGAGAAAGCCAGCCATTAGCTGCTTATACCTTTACTCCTTAAAACCAGCCTCCGGCTGGAAGCCACAGGGGACTCTGCTTCTCTTTCTGCATAGAGACGTTCTTGCATTAGCCCTGGCTGCTTTCCCATCTTGTTAATTTCTTTGTATATCTTGTAAACGTAAATTGAGTAGAGGTCAGTTTTGACTGAATGAAGGAAATACATCCTGATGGATTGGGTCCTATGGACTTAACGCTTTGGCTAATTTAATGACAAAAAGAACAAAGGGAAAAAGCCCTCAAGCTCCGTATGCTAGATGAAATTTCAAACAGCAGTGGCCCAGGAGCCAAGCTGAAAAGCTCCACCATGTTCGTAGGTGTTTTCAGATACTGATTTCATGGCCCGGCTTCAGCTCTGAGGTTAGGGGAGCTTGCTCTTCAGGTGAAAGCTTGTTCATTCTGGGCGCAGCAGCTGTATGGAGTTTCTGTTCTGCCTCTTTTTTTTTTTATGTCTGAAAAATGCCATTAGATGGAATTTGGATGCCCTAAGGCCATGGCCTTTCATATTCTGGGGGGCACGTGGATTCCTGTGGGTCATTCCCCTACCCTGAGGAGTGGGTCGGGGGGTAGAGCCGACAGAGTGGGTGGGGTGTGGAGGAGGCAGCAGGCCCATCCCCTATCTCTGATGTCATGAGCATCTGAGGGCAGAGGCATTAACTACAAGTCCGTGATGTACCAGGCCGGGGAGCCAGCGGCCATTCTAGGAAAATTCCATCCCCAGGGCATGAAAAGACAGCTAAAGGTCCGGTGTAACTCACCTGTGTTGAGTAACATGGGGGGTCAGGGTGGGGCTCTGGCACCAGGATGTCATGACCTGAGTCCTGAATTGGCCCCTTGCCAGCTCTGTCACTTGGCCTGAGTCCAACCACGGTGTGGCCTCGTGGCTTTGTCTGTCAAGTGGGGCAGGAGTGTGTGCAGCTGGCAAGGGCTGAGCAACGGAATGGCTCCACTCACGCAAAACAGAACAGGCTGGGCACAGGGCAGGTGCTTGGAAAAGGTTAACTGTTGCCGTCATTAGGAGCCACCAAGGGTCTCACACGCGTGATCTCAGCAGAGGCTTCTAGGAGCCTGTGAGGGGATGCCAGGACGTCTGGATGTGGCAGTGGATGCTGACTCTGGTTCTCCTGAGCAGAAAGGCAGTTTACTGGAAGGACAAGGGGAGCACAGTGTATCAGAGTGAAGGCATGAAAATTAGACAAAGAAACAAGATATTAGGAATTACATTATGTATTGGTGTGATATATTGTGTGTGTGTTGAGACTTATTTTAAGATAATTAAATATTCACACACACGCACAGTTGTCAGAAATAATACAGAGAAAATCCCAATCCGTGTCACCCAGCTTCCTCCAAAGGGTGACGTCATACATGGCCGTAGTACGTCTCAGCCAGGAAGTCTACACCTACGGAGTCCACCCGCTTTATACGCACTCATTTCTGCGCATTTAAATCACATGTGCAGATTCATGTGACCACCAGGATCACAATCCAGAAAAGTTACATCACAAGGATTCCTCCTGTGTTTCTTCTATGCTTTTACAGTTCTAGCTGTTACATTCAGGGCCAATGAATGCTGAGCTACGTTGTTGTACATAGAATGGGAGGTAGGGATCCAAATTCATTTTTCTGCATGTGGATGTCTAGTTGTTTCAATATGACTTTTTGAACAGACATTTCTTTCTCCATTTAATTGTTTTGGCACTCTTGTTGAAAACCAGCTGGCCACAAACCCTGGGGTTTATTTGTAGACTCTCAAGTCTGCAGATCTGTATGTCCTTCCTGATGACAGTACCACACGGTTTTGTTCCTACAGCTCTGTAGTTAGTTTCCACATAGGGAGGAGCGAATCTTCCACTGTGTTCATGTTTATCAAGATTTGTTGAGAGGCAAGTCTTCTCTTTTCCTTTCCTCAGCCAGTCTAGACAAAACATATTCCTCAATCTGGCTGCTCCGTTCTTTTGTTCTCTCTGGTTCACTTCATTTACTTCTGTGGATTATGTTACCGTTTGTTGTCCTTTCCTTAATCCAGTTCTGCTTCGCTCCCGTCTGCCTCTTTTGTGATGATGTTACGTTTAAATATGTCATAGGCCCCAAAATACAATCACATACAAGTTTATGCAGTTGCTTACTAAATGAGCTAATAGAAGGAAGGAGAAGAGCCACGCATTGAACCCTTCGGTGGCAACGTGTTAGCTGGTTTTTGTTTGTCTGTCCTTTGTTTTTAAAGATAGTTTTACAGGATGCATACGTCTTGGTCGACCGTTTTCACATCCAGCATTTAGAGCACGTTTTCCATTCCTTTGGCCTCCATGGTGTCTGATGGTAAATTGCCTCTTAGTCTCATTGAGGATCTTTTACATGACGAGTCACTCTCATCTTCCTGCTTTAAAGATTCCTTCTTCGTCTTCTGCCAGCTTGACTATGATATGTGCAGGCACGAATACTTTATTCTAGTCCTAGCTTCCTGAGATTTGTAGATGTGCAGTTTGATGTTTTTCATCAAATTTGGGGTTTTATTTATTATTTCTTCCAACATTCTTTTGCTCCTTTCTCCCCTCTCTGGCCGGCGCCGCCGTTTTGTGCATTTGATGTGCTTGACGGTGACCCGCAAGTTTCTGAGGCCATGCTTATCTGTTTTCATTCTTATTTTTTTTGCCGACCCATCCTCAAGTCTACATAATTTTTCTTCCGCCAGTTCAAGTTTGCCATTGAGCCCCTCCAGTGAATTTTTTAACTCCATAATTTCTATTTTGATCTGGAAAAAATAATTTATGTTTATGGATATATTTGGTGAGACATTGGACTCATACTTTTAATTCTGTAGACATGGTGTCTTTTAGCTTTTGTGACATATTTATAACATCTGACTTAAAATTGTCTAGAAACTTCATCTGAGCTTCCCTAGGGACAATTTCTATTGACCACTTCGTGTGTGTGTGTGTGTGTGTGTGCATGAAGGTGTGTGTGTGTGCGTGAAGGTGTGTGTACATGCCATATTTCCTTTGCATGTCTCATGTCTTTCCCCCTCAAAATTGAACATTAAAAAAAATTTTTTTTTGAACATTTAAAATTATATAAACTACAAGGCTGGGCACGATGGTCCACACCTCTAGTCCCAACACTTTGGAAGGCTGAGGCGGGCAGATCACTTTAGGTCAGGAGTTCAAGAGCAGCCTGGCCAACATGGTGAAAGTTTATCTCTACTAAAAATACAAAAAGTATCCTGGCGTGGTGGCGCACGCCTGTAATCCCAGCTACTGAGGAGGCTGGGGGAGGAGAATCACTTGAACCTGGGAGGTAGAGGTTGCAGTGAGCTGAGATCATGATACTGCACTCCAGCCTGGGAGACAGAGTGAGAGAAACTTTGTCTCAAACAATAAATTATATAAATTAAATATGTAATTAATAGATTGAAGTCAGAAGGACTCTTTTTCTGGACATCGGCTCCCACCCCTTCAGCGTCTGCTGCTTGGGCTGTCTATTGCTGCCATTGTTTTCCTGTCTTCCCTGGACTCATTCTGTGAGGTCTGCTTTCTTTTTTGTGTGAAGACTATGAAATGTGCTTGGTTAGCTTAGTGGTCAGATAATGACTGAGCAGAGATTTCCTCAAATTCTTTGAAATGAGAATTTTCGCTGACTTTGCTGTCGGCTGTGTGGGTGTGTGTTGGGGAAAGCCTTCACCATCCTGGCCGACAGCTCACAGCTCCACCTTAGCTCTCGCTCACCCTGGCGGGGAGCGGCACAGTCAGCCCTGGTGAGCAGGGGCCCTCTTAGTTCTTTCCCAGCAGACACACAGCCCTGCAGGTGCGCGTGGCCTTCTAAGTTCCCAGGAAGGCATCGGAGCTTCTCAAAGCTTTCTGAGGACATGTCATTCCACGAAACCTCCTTTCAGTTTTGTACCAGCCTCCCTCCAGCTTCAACTTGCATTGCTGCTTCAGGCAACTACAGCAATAAAAAATTCCCGGCCGGGCGCGGTGGCTCACGCCCATAATCCCAGCACTTTGGGAGGCCGAGGTGGGTGGATCACAACGTTAAGCGATTGAGACCATCCTGGCCAACATGGTGAAACCCTGTCTCTACTAAAAAATACAAAAATTAGCTGGGTGTGGTGGCGCGCGCCTGTAGTCCCAGCTACCCAGGAGACTGAGGCAGGAGAATTGCTTGAATCCAGGAGGTGGAGATTGCAGTGAGCCGAGGTTGCACCACTGCACTCCAGCCTGGTGCCTGGCAACAGAACAACACTCTGTCTCACCAAAATAAAATGAAAAAAGAAAAAAAATTTCCACTGTTTTTTGAGGTTCAATATCTTAAGATAGGGCTGGTGCACAGAGCGAACTCTGATGAGGCCAAGTAGAGAGGAGAAGGCAGTTCTTCAGTGAGAAAGCAGCTCTCCAGGGAGCGCTCAGGATGGTCAGAGAGCAGCGATTCTCTGGGAAGGGGCCTCACGGAGAGCTCCAATTCACTGTGTTCCTCCAAGGGCCACCAGGCTGCTGTCGTGTTTTTACAACCACTCCTTGTTTTTTAAGACTACTGTGGCCTGAGAGAAGAGGACTGAAACTGAGCAAATTAAAATGCCAAACAGTTTGCTTTTCTTGCCAAGAATCAGCCATTGTTATTATTTTGAGAAACAGTTTCACCCTGTTGCCCAGGCTGGAGTGCAGTGGCACAATCACAGCTCACTGCAGCCTTGACCTCCGGGGCTCAAGCCATCCTCCTACCGCAGCCCCCAAGCAGGCAGGACCACAGGTGTGCGCCACCATGCCTGGCTAATTAAAACCTTTTTTTTTTTTTTTTTTTTTTTTTTTCCGAGATGGAGTCTTGCTGTGTTCCTGGACTCAAGCGGTCCTCTCCCCTTGGCCTCCCAAAGTGCTGGGATTACAGGCGGGAGCCGCCGTGCCCGGGCGCTACCAGTATTTTGAATAAGTGCTCTTTAGATGATTGCCAGCCTTTAGCTAGTTTTCGGAGCCCTGAAACAGTCCTCTGACATTGATTCCGGTATTCGCGTTGCTTTTATGGAGGGAGAGAATTTTGGAAGTCTTTACTCTTATCCCAGAAGTGCTTCTAGTGTCACAGTTTGTACTCAGCATTATGCCCTGCAAAGGCAATAATGTGAAAATATTTTAAGTGGGCTGACAGTTGCCAAATACTTTCTAAACTGTTACTGTGAATTTTTACCACACATATTATCGCATGGAGGTTGCCTTTGCTGTTTAATTGCTGGAATTCTTACGCAGGGCAATCAGGAACCTCCTGCTGTGTACAGATTTGCAGACAATCAGAGTGTCACTCATCCATGATGTCCGATGTGGAGGTTTCTATTCCCACAGAGATGAAGCCACAGGCAAGGGCCTGTCCTCGTGCAGGTCTGTCCTGAGCATGAACATCCTGTCCCAGAGAGAAAATGGTCCGTCTGGGAAGAGCCTCCCTGGGAACACTCTGGGTCCTTGGAGGCCCCTGGGCCACATCTCTGCTTAGCATCAGGGGACCTGTCACAGCCAAGTGGGGCGACCACATGCTCTTGACCTGTAGGAGGCGAGACTCTAGCATTCTAGGGGGTGACAGCAAAACCAGGCCCTCAGCAGAGACCGCCTCCTTCCAGGGCCTTCTGTGGCCGGGCGGGAGTCTCCAGGCAGCTCCCCAGCCCCCAAGAATACCCCCTAGTGCTGAGTCTGCTTACACAGACAGCAGCGAAGGGCAGTGACACTGTTTTTCTTTTCTGAAGTGGGAGGGTCGTGTGTCCACAGCTCAGGAGGAAGAGGGGGCGCAGGCTTTGCAGGTGGGTAGGAGTTTGGGTTATACTAGGAGGCTGGGACCCCTGCGGCTTCTAGAGGGAGAGTCAGTCTGAGCCACGCTTTAGAAGCTGACCTGCTGCTCTGTGGGGACTCTGTGGGAGGGACAGGGGTGAAAGGTGCTGCCTCATCCAGGTGAGAGGAGAGCCAGGTGCACAGGGAGCCCAGGTGGGAGGAGGGTTGGTTGCCAGGGAGATGGGGGCGTGTCCATCAGCAAGGCTCCACCCATAGCAGTCAGAACCTTCCTGGTACCACCCACAGCCTTAGCTGATTGGAGTGTTCAGCCCATGTGACCACAGGCAGTGTCCTTATAGGTTGGCTGGCCTCTTGTGCCCTGCACATGTGGCCATGGAGCCTCTGCAGGAGAGTCATGGGTGAGTTTGCCATCCAGGATGGTAGAGAACAGTCCTGGGGTCAGAGTGGGTCTGAGGAGGGGCTGTGGGTCTCACCATGAGGGGCAGGACCATGTAAGAGGGTGTTGAGCCACTTGAGAGGGGCGGGCCGTGTGAGTGGGGTGGGGCCATGTGAGTGGGGTGGGGTCATGTGACTCGGATTTGAAGAGGGCCATGTGAGTGGGGCGGGGCCATGTGAGTGGGGCCGTGTGAATAAAGAGGAGCCATGTGACTGGGGTGGGGCCATGTGACTCGGATTTGAAGAGGGCCATGTGACTGGGGTGGAGTTATGATAATGGGGCGGGGCCTCTGTGGTTATTTCTCCTGTTTGTCTCTGGAAAGTCCTCCTTGCAGCTCCCAGGATGCTCAGGGCTTCTTTCCTGTGGACAGAACCTCTCCACAAGTCCCGTGGCTTCAGTACCAGTGACCTGAGCGCTGCTGGTTCATAGAGGGCAATTTTGCGTGCACTGGCGGGTCCTGCCTGTCCAGGAGGCCTGAGGAATGAGAGGGTGGAGGCCTGGATGCTGGGTTCAAGGCTCACTGTGGATTCGGGCACAAGGATGCTCCCTCCCCAGCCTCTGGCTGACAGCACTAAACTCAGTCGCCTGGCCCCCCTTCTGCTGGCTTCTGGTTCAGGCTCTGCCTTCGTCTGTGGGCTCCATCTCTGCAGGGTTCTCGGAGATATTGCAGCTGCTAACTGCCAACTGCAGAGCCCCTGCTGTGGGTCCCAGCCTGGCTTCGTGTGCCACGCTTTCCACTGAGAGCCATGTAACTGGGTGACTCAGCGCTACCGTGAAAACACTTTCTGTCCAAGCTGCCGCAACTCCAGATCCCACGCAGTTTCAGAGTTCTTTCTTTTGTGTTCCTCTCTGCGCCTCTGCGGCTTGCAGAGCGTGAGAATCAGGTGTCTGCACGCCCCTTTCTTCTCAAGTGGGACTCCGGAGTTTCTCAGAGCAGACAGGGATGGGGACCTCAGAGGGAGAGACACGGTTGAGAGTTCAGTTCACACTGGAGGGCAGGTCTGAACCAGACCAGCGTCCCACATTGCCGATGAACCAACCGAAGAAACCTGAGTTTCTGGGAGGCTCACAGCGACCATGACCCCGGTGCCTCCAGGGTGACTGCGTTGTGCCTGCACAGGCTTCCAGGACAGTCGGGGCTAGAGTAGGTCAGGACAAGGTCCCTCTGGACCTGACTGCGCTGTGCGTGGCTCTCATGTTCCCATCTGGGTTGAAAACTCAGCTCCCCTGGGACCAAGGATGGCGCTGTCAGTGAGTGCTAGAGACCCGGGAGTGGAGGGAGGGCCGGGACTCCGGGGCTCCCAGCGGCTGCTCGGCTCCAGCCCTGCCCACACCCACTTCCCCCAGGCTTGGTCCCTGGGGATACAGACCCAGTGTTGTAAATCTTCTGAGTTTTATGTGAAATTTCCTAACATACACAGCACCACACAGGCAAACAGCACATTTGGGGCCTTCAGCTCACACTCGGCCTGACTGACTGCGTGTGTGTGCTCCCCAGCATCTGGGCATCCCCCTGCAGCTCCCCAGCCCCCCAAACCTCCCCAGCCCCTCCAGCCTCTCCAGCCCCCCAGCCTCCCAGCTCCACCTGCTCCCCCAGCAGCTCCCCCAGCCCACGCAGCTCCCCCAGTCCCCCAACACTGCCAGCTCCCCAGCTCCCGCAGCCCACCCAGCTCCTCCAGAACCCCAGCTCCCCCAGCACCACCAGCTCCCCAGCTCCACCAGCTCCCCCAGCTCTCCCTGCTCCCCCAGTCCTCCCAGCTCCCCCAGCTCCCCCACCCCCCAGCCCTCCCAGCTCCCCCAGCCCCACCAGCTCTGCCAGCCCCCCAGCTCCCCCAGCTCCCCCAGCCTCCCCAGCCCCTCCAGCTCCCCCAGCCCCACCAGCTCTGCCAGTCCCCCAGCTCCCCCAGCTCCCCCAGCCTCCCCAGCCCCTCCAGCCCCCCAGCTCCCCTAGCCCCTCCAGCTATGCCAGCCCTCCAGCTCCCCCCATCCCTCAGCTCCCCCAGCTCCCCTCCTCCCTCAGCTCCCCCAGCTCCCCTCCTCCCTCAGTTCTGCCTCCTGCTGCTTCAGAGCAGCACCCCCCTGCCCCTGGCTGTGCCTCTCTTGCTGGTGCTGCCCCCATCAGAGAAGACTTTTCTGCTCCCCTGTCCCCAGAGGCCCAGGAGATTGCAAGATGCTGGCTGGGGGTGCTGTGGTGGGGGCCCCAGCCTGCTTCATCTTTGTCCCATGAAGCCTGGGGACATGGAGCTGAGCCCTGCAGTGCCCAGTACTTGCTCCATTCTGTCCACAGAACATTCCACCCGAAGGTGACCTTGAGGAAGGCATCCATCGGGACATCTGCAAAGTAGGTAAGTGACCCTGTGCCTTTGTGGGGATGGCTCTGATTAACTCAGGGGGCTACAGATCTGTTTTTATTCAGTTATTTGTAAATTGGGAAGATTTGGGACCAAATTCTTTTTGAACTAGCCGTGCAGTTTTGCATAACACAATTTATGGATGAAAGCAGAGGTGAGTTTTGGGTAAAAGAAGTAGCTCGTTGAGTTCTCTTTTTAAAGACATTGTAAGAGCAGAGAAGCTGAAAGGGAACTTACAGCAAGAGCACACACCTATTTTTCCTAATTTGTAATTATTAGTATTTATGTTCACATTAAAAATTGCAAGAAGTAAAACACCATAGAGGATGCCAGAAGCCCATGGCCCCTCTGCTCTGAGAGGCAGTGACCGTGGCCAGCGCTGTGTGGCTTTCTTGTCCATGTATGTCCATTTCAAATTCATGCACAACGCTTTGCATGTTGGGGTCTCTTCATCCTTCCTCTGGGCTCTGCGGCTTGTTTTCCCTGACGTGACGTTGCCTGGACACAGCCACGTGCATGTGTCTATTCAGTACATGTCTTGAACCAGGATCCCCAGGTGTCCTGGAGCGAACCCCTCCTGGGACACACGCAGGTGTCTCCACCTGTCCTGTCTCCAGCCGTGCTCAGGAACCCTGTGCCCCTCCCCTGCACATGTCCTCCTTTCTGTGTAGACGCAGATCGCTGGATCTTGGGGCTGCCGTGTTGTCATGGTCACCCACTGGCCTGGTGTCCAGGGCAGGTTTATCTATGCAGGAGCTGAGGAGCCACCTGCTAGCTAACCCTGGCTCCCTTGAGGGGTTCTCACCGCCATGTTGAGGTGAGGCCACCCAGGGCTCTGCTCCCCTGACTGGGGCATTGTAACCTGTGTGGCTCCCTGTGAGATGTGACCTTCTCTCTTAATTCCCGGTCGCCCTCTGCATGAGCAGAAGGAGCCTCCAGTGCCCACCACCCCGACTCCTGTGTGTGGCTAATTCACTGCCTGTTAATCCTTGACCTTACTGTCAGGCAGGGCAGGGCATGATGCACCCACCAGGTGATGTGGCCACCGTCACTGGCTTCACCGACTCCCCAGAAGGTTCTGGAAAATTGGACCAGATGGGGTCAGAGAGGACCTGTGTTATGTCCTTTGAGGAATCTATTCATGGGGCTTGCTCCTCTCAACGCCAGGGCTCAAGGGTCCCTGGCTTTTCCCCTGCCGACCTGATGAAAGGCCGTGGTTAACTGTGAGACTGCCCTGTAGCTGCTGGCACTGACTTGAGGTCACGAGGTCCAGCAGCGTCTCCTAGATTGTCCCTTTGAGCTCTGCTCTGTGGGCGGGTCAGCTGTGGATTGTCCCTGCCCACTCTTATTCTGTGGGCGGGTCAGCTGTGGATTGTCCCTGCCCACTGTGCTCTGTGGGTGGATCAGCTGTGGATTGTCCCTGCCCGCTCTGCTCTGTGGGCGGGTCAGCTGTGGATTGTCCCTGCCCACTGTGCTCTGTGGGCGGGTCAGCTGTGGATTGTCCCTGCCTGCTCTGCTCTGTGGGCGGGTCAGCTGTGGATTGTCCCTGCCCGCTCTGCTCTGTGGGCGGGTCAGCTGTGGAGTGTCTCTGCCCACTCTGCTCTGTGGGCGGGTCAGCTGTGGATTGTCCCTGCCCGCTCTGCTCTGTGGGCGGGTCAGCTGTGGATTGTCCCTGCCCGCTCTGCTCTGTGGGCGGGTCAGCTGTGGATTGTCCCTGCCCGCTCTGCTCTGTGGGCGGGTCAGCTGTGGATTGTCCCTGCCCGCTCTGCTCTGTGGGCGGGTCAGCTGTGGATCGTCCCTGCCTGCTCTGCTCTGTGGGCGGGTCAGCTGTGGATTGTCCCTGCCCGCTCTGCTCTGTGGGCGGGTCAGCTGTGGATTGTCCCTGCCTGCTCTGCTCTATGGGCGGGTCAGCTGTGGATTGTCCCTGCCCGCTCTGCTCTGTGGGCGGGTCAGCTGTGGATTGTCCCTGCCTGCTCTGCTCTGTGGGCGGGTCAGCTGTGGATTGTCCCTGCCCACTGTGCTCTGTGGGTGGATCAGCTGTGGATTGTCCCTGCCCGCTCTGCTCTGTGGGCGGGTCAGCTGTGGATTGTCCCTGCCCGCTCTGCTCTGTGGGCGGGTCAGCTGTGGATTGTCCCTGCCCGCTCTGCTCTGTGGGCGGGTCAGCTGTGGATTGTCCCTGCCTGCTCTGCTCTGTGGGCGGGTCAGCTGTGGATCGTCCCTGCCCGCTCTGCTCTGTGGGCGGGTCAGCTGTGGATCGTCCCTGCCCGCTCTGCTCTGTGGGCGGGTCAGCTGTGGATTGTCCCTGCCTGCTCTGCTCTGTGGGCGGGTCAGCTGTGGATTGTCCCTGCCCGCTCTGCTCTGTGGGCGGGTCAGCTGTGGATTGTCCCTGCCCACTGTGCTCTGTGGGCGGGTCAGCTGTGGATTGTCCCTGCCCGCTCTGCTCTGTGGGTGGGTCAGCTGTGGTAGTGGGTGGAGGACCAGGTGTCCTCAGGCAGGTTCTATCTTTTGGTCCCGCCTGCAGCCCGCCTGGTGCCATCAGGCAGGTTCTATCTTTTGGTCCCGCCTGCAGCCCGCCTGGTGCCATCAGGCAGGTTCTATCTTTTGGTCCCGCCTGCAGCCCGCCTGGTGCCATCAGGCAGGTTCTATCTTTTGGTCCCGCCTGCAGCCCGCCTGGTGCCATCAGGCAGGTTCTATCTTTTGGTCCCGCCTGCAGCCTGCCTGGTGCCATCAGGACTGCTGTGCCGGAATCACCAGGCTACAGGAACAAGCCTGGGACACTCCTGCTTGTGGGAAATCCGGGTCTTCAGGATCCGCTTGGCCCCAAGATGGTTTGACAAAAACCAGGAAAGAGAAGCAGAGACTGTGGCCATTCTCCCGCGGGGCCAGGGGGCCCCTTTCCTCAAAGTTCCCCACATCCTCAGGGATGCTGGTGGGCTCCTCTGTGACTGCCCACTCCCCTCTCCCCAGGGTTCATGACCTGGAAGGGGGACTCCTCTGTCTCTGGGTCTTGGCCAGGTAGTGCCCACCTATCCTGTGACAGCCACGATGCCCGTGGAGAGGGAAGTCCAGCCCCAGGGAAATTGGAACTTGCTGCCAAGGTCCGAGCCAGCATTCCACACAGGCAGCTGCCCCAGTCTCGGCCTTTCTCTGCATTGTCCCTGAGCCCAAGAGCCCACAGAGCCCCTCCAGGGGAGCTTCCACCGGTATTGTGGCAACAGCTGTCCCACTCCCAATGGGAGCCAGGACCAGGCCCAGCCTCCTGCATATGCTGGGCCTCGGGGAGGATGCCAGGGCCTGGCAGGGGGGAAAGAGCTCCCAGTAAAGGTGGAGGTGCAGACTGTGGAGTCTAGGTATCCCCTACCCCAGCCTCAGCCAGCCAGGGATTGTCCTTCCCACAGAGGGAGCGTGATTCCTGTAACCCCAGGAATGATTCACTCACAGTCAGCTGTGAATCACAGAGGCTGAGAAAACCCCTCCAAGCTCTCCGGTCCTGGGGTGCAGCCCTGCAGGGTCCGGAATGGCTCCCCTTGGCTGGCCTCACTCAGCTCCTGCAAGAGTTGGCAGGCCGGGCCCCTGCTCGGCTTGCCCGCAGCCTGGCACGCTCCATCATCTGCCCACGCCTTGGTAAGCGAGGGCTGAGTTGCCATCCAAAGGTTGCCAGCCTGAGGCTGAGGGCACAGGTGGTGCTGCCCACACAGCAGCGGCATCAGAAGCATCGGCAGGGCTTCTGCGCCACCCATCAGCAGCTCCCAAACTGCCCTGATCACCTGGGGCCTTTCCCAATCACTGCATCTGCTTCCCGCACAGACATGGGCTATAATTGGTATCAGATGGGGCCTGTGCCTCGGGGATTTCAAACTCTTACCAGGTGAGTCTAACCTGCAGCAGGGCTGGGAATGGCTGAGCCAGCGCGTGTGAGGCAGCAGGTTCCCAGGTGATGCCGGCACTGCTGATTGATGCCACACTGAGGACCACTGCTCCGGATCTGTGGCAGAGGCTGATTTTTGGCACGGGATGAAGACATCATTGCTTCAGACCTGAGGTTCAGCAGGTCTGGGTTTTTGCTGTAGGAACAGGTGCTAAAAATAAGTGAGAATACTACACGTTGACAGAATGTTGGCCTGTGTCTGAACAGGCGTCAGGAGTGGGTGCTCTGGGGACCTTGCTGGGGGAGCTCTGGGCTCCTGGAGCTCAGGGTCAGAGGTCTCGAGGTCTGAATTGAGAGACCAACCCTGGGCTTTGTAGCCAACAACCGCGATGGTGGGTGGAGCTGGTGGGGGTGTCTGCCTCCAGCCTGAGGGCACTGCTGTCCTGTCCTGCTGTGGCGTCTGTCACGTGTGGCAGCTCCATCTCAGTTCAGCTCCCCGAGTTGGCATTCCTTTGAAATAGTGCAAAGCAGAACAGTTACTCATCCAGGTTGTAGATTCTTTCACTGAAGAAAGACTCATGGAATGTCCACCCTGTGCTGGGCACCGTGTTTGATGGGCAGGGACTGTGGGCTGGGTACAGTTGTCCCTGCTATCTGGGACGCCCTGGAGGGTGGTGACAGTCCCACAGCTGAGAACAGGGACTGCAGCTGTGGCTACGGCCTGCCCCAGCCTCTGTGGACACCAGGGCGCTCCTGCCCATCAGGGCTGTGGCTACCCTGCAACCTCTTGGGCATGTCCACCCTGGTCTTACCTCCCTGACGGGCCCTGGGTCCCAGTGCTGCCACTGCCGCTCCCCAGGTGCAGCAATAGAAGCCACAGGGCGATACGGAAGCACATCTGGGAGGGGGAACATGAACCTCCAAACAAGACGTTTTCACAGAGGCCTCCGGGAGGCTCCCTGGAGGGCTGCGTGTTGCTGAGAGGAGGGTACGTGGGAGAACTGCAAATGGGGAGCGGAAGAGAGAGCAAAACCAACCACTGAAAGGCCAGCTTCACAAAGGGGCAGCCCCAAGCTGACAAACCCTCCCTGACTGCAGAGAGGGCCTGGTCCCGAGCGGAGGGAGA